ATTGTAGTATGCTGTGTGAATTAGCCCTTACACTGTGCACTCTTCATGCACATAGCAAGCTGATTGAGCAGAGCTACAGTTAGAGTCCTTTTTGTTGGAGCTGGTTAAGTACCTATAGTAATTACATAAAGATAAGCGGCATCTTTATAATAACGTTGTGCTTTATTGTTACCAATATTTACCCCAAGTTTTTTTAAACCTCCTCTTATATTTTTTTTCTTTTTGCATTTTTACTTACATTATATATTTCTGTTGTATAACCTCCCTTTTAGATTGTAATCTCTCACGGACAGGGACCTCCTTACCATCTTGTCTTCGTATTGTGATTGTAATGTCTTGCTTATATTGTAAAGCGCTGCGCAAGCTGTTGGCGCTATGTACAGTAAATCTTGTATAATAGTAATAATAACCTCCTAGGTATTTTATTTAAGATCGCAATATCTTACTGCTTTCAGGCTTTGGAAAATCTTGAGTGTGAGAACCGGAGACTACAGAAAGAATTGTGCCAGACTCGGAAGGATCTGGAGCATGTTGTGCAGACACAAGAGTCTGATATCCAGACTGCAGTAGATAGGTGAGGAGACTGGTTCTCTTTGGATGAGAGCAATTTATGGTACTGCCATGTTCACTGTTCTGGATGAAAACCAATTCATAGCACAAACTTCTGCTTCATGCTTGGTGCAAAGTTACTCTCCTTAAGATCAAGGTTAAAGGGTTTCTAAACCCTCCTCTTTTGCCTATATCTACTGCTAGCAAGCAGTAGATATATCCCAAAAGTTTTCTTTTTAAAACCCCGCTTTAACAGGGGTTTAAACTTACCCCGTTTTCGCCCCACGCACCCGCCCGAGAATCCGAAACTGCTCGGGCAGCCGTAAAGCATCCTGAGGCGGACGCATGCGCAGCTCGGATTTTCGGGCGGGAGACGAGCAGAGACGCAAGGTAAGTCTATGGACGCGTGCACCTGCATGCAGACACAGCGGGATCGGAAGTGCCTGCAAGGACCGAGGAGTCAGCGCTGGAACGGACACCCGCAGCAGCACTGGAGAGAGGGCTGAAAAGGACAGGAAAGAAGAGGAAGATCGGATTAGGAGACATCATTTAAGGTAAGTGCTGACATTAACATTATGGGGAGGGAAATTTTTTTTTAACTTTATTGTCACTTTAAGAGGGTCTAAAACACAAGGGGCTTAGGAAGGCTTCTTCACAGTAAGAGCTGTAAAAATGTGGAAACTAATTCCAGCCAGCTCAGATGATTATATGGGGTTGCATTCCTAAATTCACAGAACTGAATATTTACATTTACAGGAAAAATTCGATTGCCTTAGGGCCCATTCACACCAGCCGCTGCGCTAATCACACAGTAGCTGGTGTGCAGCGCATGGCACAGTGCTGATCCCAGCACATCGCATGGTGTACTTTTTTGCGTGACCAGGCAAATTGCCTTGTCTTGTGTTGTGACTGCGCTGGAAAAAAAGCGCAACCCAATGCATATAGTGTGAATTGGCCCTTAGGAGATTAGGAAGGCTTTTTTTCACCCTGTTGGAGCAAACTCAACTATGCTTTAAGGGGATTTTTTTTCCTTCTTCTGGATCAAACGTGGGCATTGACTTCTGTTATGGAGGTTTTCTATTGATTTCCTCTTCCCTTTTTTTTTTCTTTGCCTTATTGGTTGAACTTGATGGACTTGTGTCTTGTTCAACCTGTCTAACTATGTACCTACAAATGGTCTAAGGCAGTACCACATCTCATGCCATTAAATTTCAAAATAGAATACTGAATGGCCAACTTTTACAGAAGTCCCTTGAAGTATTTCCCAGTAACCAGGCATTGTACTTCAACTCTATAACAACACCTGAGGCTGCAGTTGTAATGGGGGGGAGATTATTCGCTTTTATATGTCTCTAATGCATCGACCTTAATATTAAAGGGGGAGGTTCAAAATGTCCCCTCGGGAAGCATTTTATATGCATGTAGATTTGAAGTTTGACCCTCATGAATGTCTCCACTCCCTTGGTCAGGATCTAGCTATGTGACTGTCGAAATGCTGCAGGCAGTACATTGGACACACTGCTCTATACCGATATCCATTTAGGTTGCCCCAGGTACCTTATATCGAAATTGCTGCACAAATAGAAACCATAACTTGAAAATATTTTCCCTCGGGATCAGTACTTCATTTCATGTATTTGTTAATGAAATGTTATCTGAAATGTTATCTGATGCATAACACATTTGTTTCCTTTAACTCGCAGGAAGTCCCAGGTACTGCTGGACAAGCATGAGGCAGAGCTGAATACACTTAATGAGCGGTTAAACGAGGTCTCTCGGCAGTATGAGGAGCTCCTGTCTGCTCTCCAGCCTCAGCGAGAATCTGCCTTCGTTCTGAAAGGTTTAAGCAGGACAAGTTCTCTGGAATCGGTGTCCTCTGAGCACAGCAAAGGGGATGTCCACACGGATGATGACTCCAACCGGTCGCAGGTGATAACTGATTTCACTTATGTTAAATAGAAGATTAATTCCACTGCAATTCTGTGTACCATTCTATGTACTGTATAGTCTGTGTTCCAAATGGTTGATAGTTTTTATAGGAACTGTGCTTAAGCAATAAAAGTCTCATCATTGTTTTATTCCATGAAGCGTTCTTCAGAGAACTGAACTCAAAAATGTAAGATTTGCTATATTACAGTTATATTACAGACAAAATCTTAAAATGTTAAGCAGTATCCTGAAAAATATACAGTTTGTCTGCAGTTCCTGCTGACAAATAGCAGTGACTTCCTGGTATGTGAGGGTGCCTAGGCACTTTTGTACCTACAGCCTTATAGCTGTATATCTGCCATGTGAGATCTAAGGCACTGCTGCCTCTGACTGCTAGTCTTAGGAGATTTGGTGATGTCACTGCTGTTCTGCTCGCTGTTCTCCTCCCTGAGGCTCTGACATGAGAAAGCAAAACCTTTCTGTACCAGAATGATCGCCTCCACGCAAAGACAGTGCAGGGCAAGGCATAGTAAGTCAATAATGCAGAAAAGATCAGCTGTAGGAAGTACTGTTTACCTTACATGTGACATTTCATTACGTTCTATGGGCACAGCACAGTGCAATGCGGTTGTACCACGTCGTGGCCCGCTGCACTGAAAAAAGTACTGCATGCAACTGTGCCCATCTATTACAAGGCAAATTGCCTTGTCTTGAGATGGGGGAGGAAAGAAAATAGTCTGCGCAGCGCCAACGCATTTGATGTGAATCAGCTCTAAAACGGTTTTACATTTAGATTAATGTAGGAAAGTAACTTTGTAAGATCGTCACTTTCCTGGAATAAGTGTGCAGGAGACGGCTTCTGACTTTCTTCAGCTGTCAAAGTCAGAAGCCGTCTCCTGCACACTAATTCCAGGAAAGTGACGATCCTACATAGTTCCGGGTTAGTGAGTGCAGTAATTGAGGCCAGGGAGATCAGCATGGCAGCCAGGAAACTAGCATTTGTAGAAGAATGCCAGTGGTAACTCTTGTATTTTTCTCTTGGTTGGTTTATGCTCGGGGGTAATATGGAGTTCAGGAGCCAGTGGGATTTTTGTAGGAGTCCGCTCCATTGAGGGCAACTAGATGAAACCTCAAAAGTTAGGCACCAGTTGTCATTTTTAAGGAGCATTGGCGACCTGGCTCCTGGGATTTGTCCAGCCCTGCTTTACATTGTGGGAGCTAAGTGGGGCACCAGGAGACCATACGTCAGAAAAATGGTAATGGTTGTGAGTTGTGTTTTCTAGCTTCTTTCTTGCTAATTTCAATTCTTTGTATTAATACATGGTGCCTTTTGTAGCTTTGTTTTATCTCTCCTTTCACATGTTCTCATTGTAGCTCCCAATGCCACCATCGTCCCCAGCCAGCACAATAGCTGCACGGTTCCTACAGGAGGAAGAGCTGCGATCACAGGATCTTTTTCAGCGACTGGATTCTCATATTGAAGAGCTGAAACAAGAGAGTCACCGCACACTTCAACATTTCACAAACACCAGGTAACATGGTTTAGGGGAGCTGCCGCCTGTGGAAAGGCCACAAAGGACATCGGAGCCAGTCCTGGTCACCAAATGTGACTGGTGAGTCATTTGCTCACCTTACCTGCCTGACCTCAATTTGTATGCGTCTTCTACACCTTGTAGCTGAGCCATTAGAACTCTTATTTTATATATTCTGCTTTTAATGTACAAAACATAAAAGCCCTTGCGGGGTGAATTCAAGCATTACAATACATGATTTGTGTTCTAATTCTTTGTAGTTAGTGGACTTTTCTGATGATATAGTGCATGGAGAGACTCATTACTGCTATGTTTGGTATGTACTATTCCAGTAAGAGACTTAAAAAGAGACCCTGTCATGTTTCCTCACAAATCAATAGACCAGTTCCTTACTGCCAAAAGCAGGTGGTATACTTTCCTCTCCAATGACCCTCAACTCCAGCGCTGCAGCCTTCGTCTGGTTCTTCTGCATTTAAAGCATTCTGGAGTGTTGAATACCTATAGTATGTCCCCTACAGTGTGCTGGAACCTTCCTCTGACCCCTGTTACTGCAGGACTCAGTGGTGATATAGGGATTGGAGGAAAGTACCAACACATTGGGGAACACAGGCATCCAACACTCCCGAATGTTTAGAATGCCTGAAAGACTGATGGAGGCTGCAGCGCTGGAACAGAGGGGGAGGTAGAAGTCACCGGCTGCTGGATCGGTGAGTATAATAATAATTTTCTGGACGCAGACAGGTTTCTGATTTGTTTAAAGACCTGATGGGGTTTCTTTAAGGATGCTTGTGATTCAGTGTAACCTTATAATTTGATTGTATATCTGGGCTAAGGCAGTATTGGTAAGAATTCACCAAGCCATTTTACATGAATCTAATAACATAAAAATGCCATTATGTGCTCCAGGCAAACGCCTTGTTTGCCTCGCGGCAGATACGCCCCTGGTTATAGTACTTTGCAAATTGCTTTTCTGCCTTTATTAAAGAGACACTATCACCTTCCATATACAGGACAAAGTGACAGTGTATTTGCAAAGGCCCAATTCCCCCCACTTCAGTCCCACTAATACTCACCTTGCCAGTGCTTCCCCACCCCTCCTTCATTGCAGCACTAAAATCCCCAGTGTCAGCTGGTGTCAGTAATAGTGACGTCGCTCTTTCTGTTATGTGGCAGTGATCGAACCTAATCAGCTGTTGGATGTGACCATTGTCACATGGTAGGAGGCCACATGCTCCCCCATATACAAAATGACCAGGTATACTCTTCAGCTGCAATGGAGAAACGAGCTGCTGGGGAGCACTGGCAATGTATCAGTAGGTCGGGGGGTCCTTTGCAAAGGCACTATTGGTTTGCTCTGAATGGGAACGGTAACACTGTCTCTTTAACTAAACAAGTTCTCACATAAAAAAAATAGAATGTTTAATTATTGCAGAATTTTGTGGATTTTTAAATGTTTTTAGGTTTAATTTTTTAAGTGGTGAAATATTATTTGTGTAGCTCTTGGTATTACATCTGCATTACTACGACCAAACTGAATGGATCCGAAACCACAGCATAGCACAGCATAGCACAGCATAGTCCAAAACGAAATAGACATTGTGGATGAATCTTTAACCCAGTAGCAGTAGCTAGTAATTAGGGAAGTTCTAAAATATGTAAATGAGGTATTTCATGCTAGATTATTTATACGTGGCCTCATTCAGACTTTAACAAGGCCAGGCAAAGAGTGGTGCCATTGCCCAAAGTACCATACCTTGTACCAACCAGAGTCTAGTTAACTGAAATTAGATCGGGGAGATGGTATTGGTGGTTGTTTGCTATGGGATAGTGTACATTTTAGACTAATACTTACGTGCTAAGTACGCGTACATGTTTGAAGGGTAAGAGTACTTGCATACACAATCCCATACATCACTCCTGAGTTCACATGTAGATAAATTCACCTTCTCACACCCTCTTCTTGCTGTCCTCTGAAATCAGCTTGTATAGAACAGTGGCCGAGCTGGAGACTCCTATGACTGTTCTTGTGTAGGCCCAGTCCATGTACATAACGTTCAGAGGAACCAGAAGGATGTAACCACTACCTGGCCATGGGTCGTGTCTCAGTTTTGATGATGGAGAAAGATGAAGGAACACTTTTCATTTTATGTTATTATAACTTTTTTATATTTTTATTTGAATGTGAATTGACTTTGCAAAGCAGCTAGCAGCTGACTGACTAAAAAACTACAATTAGCTGCAAAATCACACTCCTAAAATGGAAAGAAATATTTTTATACTTGAAATAAATTATTTGAATATTCTTTTCTGTGTTTTTATTGAGTGTTTGTATTCGCTATCATATTCATTTTTGAATTGCGTTGTTTTTTTGACGCTGAGAACCCAGCACTTGGAGTCCTTGAAGCAGAAAACAATTAAAGGAGAACTATGAGGTGAGTGCTTTTCACTCACCTCATAGTTCTAGCTGACCTGTGACAATGAGACTGTCACAGGTCGGCTCAGTAGATCAGGAGGTGAGCAAAAACATACCGGCGTTCTCTCACCGTTCGATCCTGTCACAGCTCTCTGCCGTGACAGGGGAGGGGCTGGATTCCCCCCTCCCCGCTCCAAACCGCCAGCGCTGACTGACGGAACGGACGGGGGGGGGGCGGGTACAGCTGGCTCTGCCTCTAGATGGGCAGAGCCAGCTGTCAGTCACGCAGCTGGGCGGATCCCGGCACAATTGTGGGGATCCGCTTCAGCTGCGGCGTCTCAGTATCGGCATCTCTCAGTCACCCTAGGCTCAGTATACTGCGAGCTGTAGCTCGCGGTATACTGAGCCTAGGGTGACGGGAGGATGCTAGTTTGTGTCCTCCCGTTACCCTAAGGAGAACTATGGGGAAAAGCCTTAACCCCATAGTTCTCCTTTTAAAAGCATACGTATAGCCAAGGGGTAGGCAACCTTGGCTCTCCAGCTATGCTGAAATTACAAATCCCATAAGGCATTGCAAGCCACAGGCATGACTCCCAGAGGCAGAAGTAGTAGTTTCAGCACAGCTGGAGAGACAGGGTTGCCTACCCCTGTTATAGCCAAAACATTTCCTTTTTGTTTGGATAGAGTAGGGAACGATTGAAACCCCAGCCGGTCTATGTTTTTGTGGTCTTGTTCCATTGGGGCCTTTCCCATCACTTCCTGTCCTAGAGGATGTGAGGGGAAACCTCTCCAAAGTGAGGGGAATTCTGGAACGGGTGTCCCACTGTAAGATTTCCCCTCGCATTATGTTCTGGTGACAACTGTAATAGTTTGGATTTGCCATTATTTCTGTCTTGATGACCGTGCTCATCGGAACAAGTATAGTGTGTGACTCTGCCGTTTGGTGACACAGACTGCAAAAAAACTAACTTAACTTCAATTCTAACCCATTTTTTCTTTATTAAAATAAAACAAAATAAAGCTTTGTTTACATATACACTTTAAAAATGTCCCTTTTTTGCCTTAACACATCACCTTTACCTGACTCAGTTACCCTCCCACTAACCCTAACCTTAAAGCGTAACCAATTCCCTTAATTTAAACTCTTAATACCGGTCTTCCAACATTTAATGGATAAGTTCGCCTTTTGCAAAAATTTAAATGCATAATTAATAATATATTTAAAAAAAGTGCATTTCTTTATTATTTGCATTGCAATCGTGGTCACTTGATCACAGCGGCAAAGCTCAGGCTTCTGCATATTTTAAAACTGTCAGGGTGAAGGACGGCTGAACTTTAAACTGCAATAAATCACCTCATACGGCATCCAGCTGTCCTCGCTCTGGGTAGAGCTGCCCATATTCCCGCATCTACCTAGAGCGAGGACGGCTAGACACTGTATGAGGTGATTTATTGCAGTTTAAAGTCCAGCCGTCCTTCTCCCATTTCTCCTAACTGAAACTCTGTACCTCAGTACGAGCTCTGCCTGGGAGACAATGTGCAGAAGCCTGAGCTTTGTAGCTGTGATCGAGTGATCACGATTGCAATGGTTTCCAGGCTTCAATGCAAATATGAAAGAAATGCATATTTTTTTTATATATTATGTATTTCTTTAATTTTTGCAAAAGGTGAACTTTATCCTTTTAAAGTAGAACTATGGCCTCCATCTGTACTTGCAGTTTTCTCCCAGCCCCCCTGCAAAGTCCCATAAATACCTGTTGATCTTGCCAATTAAGTCAACCTAAGACCGCTTCCTATGATGATGTGGCAGCAAGGTTGTACTGCTTTTGATATCAGAGCAGAGTTGCCACTCCCTTGTTCTCTGTGCCTGCTTGCGCGAGAGTGGTATGACAAAGTGTTACAGGGGGCACGGTCATCAGCATTGTCGTTGCTGTTTCGCAAGCCTGTAGCTTGTCAGTCAGCCCCTGGCCACACCTAGTCCTGCCCACTGCTCTGGATTGACTGCACTGCCTCTGTTGGTGAAGCTCTCCCGCTATGAACTGCAGTGTCTGGGAGGGGAAGTGTGTGAGACACAAATGAAGGGGGGTTTGGTTGTCGGGGAAGATGAAGTGTATTGTTGACTTTATGAGGCTTGTTCATTACATAAGTGGAGACTGTCCTACAGAAGCCTTTAGTTGTATTCAGCTATTACGAAAAAAGGTAACGTGATTAAGAGCTTACCCAGAGCCCCTATTTCACAGTGTGGGTGCCTGAGGAGCCAACAGCCAAGCACCAGCACTGCCACTTTCTGACAATAGCCACCAGGACAAAGAGAGAGGATGAATCTCCCAAACTGTGACACAGACGGCAATAAAATCTGACAGAGGTTCTAATACCTCACCACTCTATCAAAAACAGCAAAGTATTGGATTTACAAACAGTTTAAAGTTAGTCAGTAACTGTGCCATGATTCCATGTTTTAATTGTACAAACACAACAGCAAAATCCTCCCTGCTTGTAGCCAGCTTGTGTATCTGATATAGGACCAAATCAATGTGTCTTCCTTTCAGTTCTGTGTCTAGTTATTCATATGTAAAGTAAAATCAAGCTATTTACATCATTTGAAGTCACAAGTACCTAATCGGACTCGTGATCATCATTTCTGGTGAACCGCTTATGGGGACATGCAGTGTACCGAATACCGAAAACATTATGACCTGCCTAATACTGAGTAGGTCCCCTTTTGCCAACCGAAACGGCACCGACCAATTGAGGCATGAACTCTACTAGACCTCTGAAGGTATGCTGTGGTATCTAGCACCAAGCCATCGCTAGCAGATTCTTTAAGTCCTGTAAGTTGTGAGGTGATTGGCCTCCATGGATTGGACTTGCTTTTCCAGCATATCCCACAGATGTTTGACTGGATTGTGATCTGAAGAATTTGGAGGTCAAGTCAACACCTTTTAAACTCAGTCATGTGTTGCTCAAGCCATTCTTGAACCATTTTTGCTCTGTGGTTCCGTTTTGACGCTCACATGCAAATGTTAGGCGGTGGATACAGGTCACTGTGGGCACCCTGACCCATCTGCGACAACGCAGCCTCATACGCAACAAACTTCGATGCACTGTGTGTTCAGACACCTAAAGCAGCATGAACTTTTCCAGCAATATAAGCTACAGAAGCTTTTCTGTTGGATCGGACTACACGGGCCAGCCTTCGCTCCCCATGTGCATTAGTGACCCTTGGCCGCCCATGACCCTGTCTCCAAATCACTTGTTTTTCCGTCCTTGGACCACTTTTGGTAGGTCCTGACCACTGCAGACCAGGATCATCCCACAAAAACTGCAGTTCTGGAGTTGCTCTGACCCAGTCGTCCAGCCATCACAATTTGGCTCTTGTCAAAGTCGTTGAAATCCTTACACTTGCCTATTTTTTCAGCTTCTAACTCATCAACTTTGGAGACAAAATGTTCACTTGCTGCCTAATATAACCCACCCACTTCCAGGTGCCACTGAAATGAGAAAAATCAATGTTGTTCACTTCACCTGTCAGTGGTCATAATGTTATGGCTGATCGATGTATTAAGCAATCATCGGGGGACTGTAGTCGTAAAAAGGGAAAGAAGTCCTGTTTAGACAATAGAAATCTAGTTTACTAGTAAGTTAGATGTTACATTGTTGTATTTGATGCAGAAATAATCAGATGTGTTAATGTAATACAATGCCTTTTATGAATGGATAAGCAAACTAGTTTTAATCGAAAAGGTTGAGCACAAGTCTCTTTATATTAGAAGTATGTGTGATGTTACTCGGAGCAGTTGTAAAGGTTCTTGCTAAGATACGAGTGAGAGGAAGGCATTGGGGTATCCAGAACTGCCATTGAGAGACATTCGTTTTTATAAGCTTTTCCAAATAGAAGGCAAAGCTATATGTTAAAAACTAGTCAAATAGCAAAACAAAGCATGTAAAAGTAGTAAACATGGCCTCACATTTCTTACAAGTTTTAAGATCGTTCTACTATAGTACCACTTGTATAATGTAGATCAATTCTGTCCATTGGCACAAATGCCCCTTCAGCTATGTTTAAAGCATCAACATATACATTATAATATATACAAACTCTGTATCTGTAGAGAGAGAGAATTATTGCTAGGTTCCTCTTTGAAGTAGCACCTCTACAGAGTATTTAATGGCCACTTTAAGTCCATCAGCCAAACTCTAAGCGATAGTTTAAAACTTGATTTAGAATAGGAATATATCACACAAGACTTCAGTGTAGCGGATCATCATATCATGTTTTAGCACCTCTGACAAGTGTACTTGTCAAGATGATTCATATTGTAAGGGAGCTGTTGCCTTGGAAGGGAGTTTGTGACTTAGAAAGCTAGGAGGAATTTGAGCTTTCGATCAGTCTCTGATGACCTATGCCTTTCACCTGATAACTAAGCACCAAAGCATAATTCTTGTTCAGATTGTTTGTCACCAGAACCTGTATGTCCTTGGTTCCAGCGGTGCTGCAAACCCCTTCCCAGCATTCATCATGGCCTAAGGTCAGAGGCCAAAAGTTCTTGCCCTTGACGGACACCGCTGCCAACCCCCTGGCCTTAATTCTGAATCGTACTTCAGTGTTGGCTGGCAGAACACCAGTCTTGGGCTCTAGCAGTTCATAACCTGAATTCCAGCTATTATATCTCATGGGGAAATATGGCCACCTTATTTTTGTGTTGGAGCAACATAGGAGGTAATTACAGGCATAATCGTAAACATTGCTGAGGTCTGTCTTCATCTTACTGCACAGCTTAAGAACATAGTTACCAGCTTTAGGGAGCTGGATGTGAAATTCTACTCGACCTTCCTTCTCCAGTTGAAAAACATATCTCCTCCTTGCTTCCTCTGTCGTGATGTCATCAGAATGTAAGGTAGCCACAATATCAGTTGTTTCATCTACAGCAAAACTGACACAACAGCGTCCATCATCTGCAAAGATGGCAGGCTCAAGGTGGGATGGGCGAAGTAGACCCTTTTTATCTGAGAGATAACTGGGTCCAGAAGGGTTGCATAGCTCAAGGGGTAACAAGGGCCACTTCACTTGAGTATTCACACAGGTAATCAGATAATTGCATGCAAATTTAAAATTGCCCTGCTCCGACTCTGTGTATATCTTCAGAACATACATCCCAGCCTGGGGCAGTTGTACCTGAAATTCTACTCTGTTCTGTCTTTGGACTTGAAGGATGTGTCTCCTTTCTCCCTCTTCTGTTAACAACACATCTTCTGACTGCAGCCTGGCAAATATACCCATCTCCTTCTTTAGTGTGAAAGAGATGGAGCAGCGTCCATCAGTAGTGTGAATGATTGGCTCGGTTTGGGAAGGTTGCAAGAGGCCTTTTTTCCCTGAGAGAGATGTTGGTCCAACAGGGTTCTGAAGTATGTTGGGAAAGGGCGGCCAAGCTGCCTTTGAATTGGAACACGATATAAAATAACTGCAAACAAGCTCATAGCTTCCAGTTTGAAATGTACTATCTGCATAAATCCTGAGGTCATAAGAGCCGGGTCTTGGAAGCTGTATGTAGAATTCTGCCTGGTGCTGCTTCTGTATTTGCAGAATGTACCGTCTTTCCATCTGGCTATTCCACTTGTTATCATCAGAATGTAATGTAGCCAGGCAGTTCATATCTCTGTCTAGGGAGAAACTTAAAGAACAGCGTCCATCTGTGCTATTGATCACTTGTCCTAGCTGCGATGGCTGGATAAAACTTTTTCTACCTGCTGAGTTGCTGGACCCCACTGGTATCTGTGGAATAGCAGGGGCCCCTGGGTCTGAAGTCTCTATGCCTGAACAGCAAATTAAATAATTGCAGATATACTCAAAGTTAGTTGGAGAGGTTTTGCTATCTGCAAAGATCTGGAGAACATACGAGCCCGTCTTAGGCAAACGAACCTGCAGTTCTATATGATGGCCTCTTTGAACTTGTGTCACATAACGCTTTTCTCCACAGTCATTGAGTGTCACATCATCACACTGAAGGGCTGGCAATACTTTTATATCATCCTTCAAAGTAAATGAGAGAGAAATCCGTCCAGTGGGTGTGTAAATAATAGGATCATTACAAGAGGGTTGCAGAATACCTTTTTTCTCCATTAACGCAGTTGGCCCAACAGGGTTCTGCAATTTTTTGGGGAAAGGTGGCCATGTCACTTTAGGATCTGTACATATGATTAGATAATTACAAAAACACTCATACTTGCCTGGGCCGGTGGAACTGTGTATTTTTAGAGCATAGTAACCTGACTGGGGAAGGTGAACTTTAAATTCCACTCTGTTTCCTCGCTGGGTTTGCAGAACATATCTCCTCTCATCTCCAGATTTGATGTGATCGCCATGTAATATAGCTAGAACGATGTTTCTCTTGGCTAGAGTTAAACCAAGAGTACAACGACCATCATGAGTGTTAATCACTGGGTCCCGGCATGTGAGCTGCAGAAAGCCCTTCTTGTCAGTCAGCCAACTAGGACCGACTATAACATCCAGCTCCTTAGGGATCATAAATACAAGATCTACAGATGTGCAATACACAATATACTCAACAACATTATCATATGATTCTTTAGTACTGTCATATGCTTTTGTATATATCGCCAGCTTGTGTCTTCCAGTCACTTGTGGATATAATTCCAGCTGCATCCCGGTTTTACTTAATGTCATCAGTCCGGGCTTTTCTGTTTTATTGAGCGTGAAAGAGAAGAGTGCTGGGGAACGCCCTTCAATAGAAAAGGTAGCCTTTCCATTAACTGTAATAAAATAGAAATGGAGTCATCTATTAGGCTTTAGGTATTAAGCTGACTATAGATCAGTAGAATTTAAAAAAAAAAAAAAAAAGTTTCTCTTCTGTTTATTAAAGGACACAGCCGAATTGTCATGTAACGGAAGGGTTATTTCGCCTCCTGACGGAGTAGGGCGCTAGGAATAAAACAAGAAAGCACAGCCCTAGGGTTGGCCCCCAGCTGCTGGCACAACCCCCCGCATGTTAGAGGCAGCCCGATTTTATTTTTTTTACCTAGCGTCGATGAGTATGGACTTGGCTCCCTGCTGAGAATCTTAGTTCTGTACTTTTACTTTAATTTTTCCTTAATTTTTCTTGTTTCTTTTTAGTTTCCCACCCCTCGGTTCTCACTGCTTTGGAACATCCCTTCCGTTAAATGAAGATTTGGCTGTGTCAATGAATTTGGCTGTGTCCTTCAATGATCTCTGCTATCATTGAAGGACACAGAACCCTCCACTGTGGAGTGGTCTGTGTCTTTTTTTTTCTCTACTACTTTGTGAATAACTGATCTGCCTCTATCAAGTGGGTGGTAGTGCCACCAGCAGGGGCGCTCCCAAGGCGGTGCTTTCTTGTTTTATGCCTAGTGCCCTAGGCATAAAACAATGGCTATCACATAGGGGACTAACAAGCCCCCTTTGTGATAGCCAATTTTCAGTGACAGGTCCTCTTTATGGAGACATCAGGGGTCTTTAAGACCTCTAATGTCACCTCGGGACCCCCAGAGAAGTTGATGAAGCAAACACCTGCTTCACCAGCTTTTCTCCGGTTTCTGTACCAGAGAGTGACACTGAATGCAGGAAGTGATGTAATACACATCACTTCGTGCATTCCAAAGAGGAGGAGGAGATCAAACGGAGCTCGTTTACTGAGCTCCATTTGATCTCCGGCCGCAGAGCTGCTGTGCTGGTCCCGGGCTGACACCGGGCACAGCGGAGCTCAGGATCGCCAGCAGCGGCAGAGGGGGCGCACACCCGCACGCCTATAACAAGCGATCGGGCGTCTCTACAGATGCCCGAACGCTTGTATGTAAACAGCCATCGCCGGCTGTTTACATTGCAGGCTGATTACCTGCTCGATTGCAGGCTGATTACCTACTCGTCCCATCACGCCCCGCACGAGCGGGGTGGGATGGGACGTTTAAAAACGCCCACCCATGTCCTGGGGTTGCCCCATTCTGGGCTCAGATTGCTACTCTAGCTCAGAAGATCACAGGCCTGACTTTACAGTTTACTCCATTGGTGTATCTCCTCCACTTGGCACCGCTATCGCGGAAATCATATAAACGCTCTCTACTGATTCATTTGTTGAATGCAGCTCGGGCTTGTATACCAGCACTGTGGAGGCAACCCTGCCAACCCTCTATAGCGATGTTGGCAGGGAGAGTGGAGGAGATCAAACTGATGGAGGACCTCACGTCTTCCATCAAAAAGACCCAGCAGAAGTTTGTTGGTACATGGGCTGCATGGTACCAGTTCAGGGATTCCCCGGAATTCCCACAAGACAACCAGGGGTGAGTCTAAGGTGGTGTGGCCCTCAGGAGACTGGACGCCCGTGGAACCGGACTTGGGTGGGTGTGTTTCTCTTTTTCCCTTCCCTAGTTGTCATGTCATTGTGTTTTTTGTACTCTTGCTTTCCTTGTCATGCTGTTCTTTTCTCTTGTGCTCTTTGTATGTATCGGTGGCACTATCCGCTCTAAATGGAGGGATAGTATCCGTAGTACTACAGTTTTGTTCCTTTTAGGTCCTATACCAGTAAAACGGAAACTGTCATGGGAGTGCTGGTGCAGACCGTAATAGTTATACTATGTGAGATTGGTTTTGAGGAGGGATGGCCGGGCCTGTTGTGTTTATGTATCTAACTGCTGACATATGTATTTGTTGTTTACATGCCTGGCTGCAAAGCCTGAATGTTTTGTTGGTACTGTATGGTGCTCTCATGCTTGTATAAATAAAGAATTTTTGAAAAAAATAAAAACGTCCACCCGTGTTCAAGAAGCCGCTGTCCGGCCGTTTAATTACAACGGCCGGACAGCAGGTGGTTAAATAAAGTTTACCAACATCTGGCAATTTCTAAGTATCATTCTTCCCAAGAAAAAGGTACAATTCACTTGTTGTCATGAGGACCCACACACAGCTGTGTCTATGGAATGCTGTACTAATAGCTTTTAAAATATATAGACAGTGCACTTCATGGACACAACTGTGGTATGCCCTTTTCAGAGCTCTACAAATGTTCTCAGCAAATCTGGTCCTCTTATGCAAACTTTGAGATTTACACTCATCCTCATAGTTAGAGCCGACGTGTGACATTAAAACTGTCAAACGTCGACTCTATAGATCAGGAAGTGAGCAAACACATACCGTTGCTCGCTCATTTCCTGATCGTCTCCCTGCAGAGAGCGATGACTGTCGGTCACCACTCCCCCAAGGGATTCCCCCCTCCCCTCTTCGATCCTCCGGCGCTGACTGGAGGAACGGACGAGGAAGGGGCGGGCACAGCTGTCTCTGCCTCTAGATATTCTTAGGCAGCTGTCACTGAGCCAGCTGGGTGGATTTATACAGTATTGTCCAGATCCTGGCTATGGTGCCCTCAGTATATCGTGTGCAATAGCTTGCTATATAGTGAGCTTTGGGTCACGGGAGGAGGTTAGTATATGTTCTCCCGTCACCCTAAAGAGAACTATGGGATACAAAGGTTGCCCCATAGCTCTCCTTTTAATAAGGTCTCTTTTGCTAACATACAAAACCAAGTACTGAAACGTTTGTGTTTATGGATTTGTACTTCCCTGCCCTTCTCATACTTCTCTTTTGTTGGTCATGTATGGGATTTGGCAGTATGTCCCTTTTCCTCTGTAACTACAACTATCACATGGCAACAAGTAATATTTGAACATTTCCCTTTTCATAGAAGTAATTGAACCTTTATAAGTACAATAACATGTGATATGTAAGAGATGCATAGATGAGTTAACGATGTTGATTATTTCTGTGACCTGCCTTCAATATAAACTTATATATCTAAAGTAATACCTGTTTCAACCTGGAGGATCTCGGGGAAGGATGCTATCAGGCCAGCATTGTAGAAGCTGCTCTTCCGACACAAGTTTCCCTCAAACTGTTTGAGTGACAGCGGCACTTGTAGGAGTTGCCAGTTCTGATTATCAGGGAAATGTTCCTCTATGAATAATGCAGGGTGAGTCAAAAAGTAAAATTCATTGTACCTGCCAAAAGAAAAGGTTTTCTTTGTGGTCATCAAGCTACAATAATGAGCAATTCAAAGAATAATTACATTCAAAATGTGAAATCTCCCTTCAGGTGATGAGTGCTTGTTTGTGTGACGATGATGGGGGATTTGAGTCTGAATGTTGCAGAATAGAATTTGTTTGTTTCCCCAGTCAGAGCACCTGACAGGTCCCTCCACATTCCACAGAAGAGATGCTCTGGCTGTGATCTAAGCCTTTTATGGCTGTTGTAATTAAAGGCATGGCACTAGGCCCTCCATATATTACGAGTGGACAATTTATATCAACAAGCAGGTCCGGGAGATGCGGTGACCCTCGCATTCTCTCTAAAGTCATAAAACCTGAGTTGGAAAATCAAGTTACATTTATTCATTTGGAGTTGGGCGAGGATAGGTAAACTAAAGGTTCATCCTCCGCCTGCTTTCCCGCCCCAGCCCTGCCTAGGGGCTGGCTCCGGGACACCCTCTAAGAGGGGCTTATAAAAAATTTGGTGTTGGAAACTAGAGAGGCTCTTGGCTTAAACATCATCGAGGAACTAGAAGTCTTAACATCGCAGAAGAGTTCCCCTTTAATCTTTGGACATTATCTGCTGCAATTCTGCTTGAGGAAGAGCCCTGCAGACTTCCACTTTGCTTCTTGAACTCTGAACTCTGTCAGGACTCCTAATTCCAGGACTGTTGAGTATTCTTCTTTTATTCCCTTTTATTTTGCTGTTGTATATATTTTGTCTCTTTTTATTAAATCTTTTTCTGTATATTTTCTGCACCGTTTCTTTTATTAAAGGTCGATCTTAAAAATCGTTAAGCTTATCTCTAAATACGAACTTAAGTCTCCTTGCTTTTTGAAGAGTGCTACTGTATAGTGAATCCGGTCATATGTTTAAGTGTTTTGAATAGTCGCAGCATTTGCTGGGCACGGTTTGTATTCTGGAAAATACATGGTGGAAGTGGAAGTTTGGTGGGTAAAGGGTTAACTGCGGAGTTAACCAACCCGGTGACGATCGCTCTCAGTCTGCTGGCCTGAGATTTTATCCTGCGAGCTGGGAAATCTCTGTGCAGGGTGAGGCTGAGAGTGGTATCGCCACGTCCTTGTGACGCTCACGCTCAGTTCAGACTTGTGTATGGTCACGTGGGATTGACGTACAGCGGGTTTGGGCCGGGCGTACATCACAGTTAGGACCCCATCTCCATCTCCAAGGTTCTTGGATCTTGTGTTCTAAAATTAATCCAATACATTTCCCAGCATTCAGTGCTGCACTACTAATGTAACCAGGTCTGTGACGCGGCCTTTTTAAGGAAAGACAGAAGTCATATGGCAAGAAAAAGAGTGTTTAGAGGAATGTGGTGCTCCATAATTTCTCTGCAGACGCTGTGAACATGGGGCGTGAGGTAAACCTGTTAGCTATTTTAAACATTTGAAGCAAAAAACTTTAAAGCAGTATAAAACCTTCAACTTTTTTTTTTAAATTATGAATCCAGATCAAACAAATATAAATTGTCCAGCAAAGTATTTATTAAAATTTTTGCCCAAACAATTACAATCATCATGTTTCCAAACAGCTCCAGCTCTATCAGCTCAGCTTCCCTGAACATCCTGTCCAGTACAAGATCACAAGGGACAGAGCAGTCTGCAGCAGCTCTCCATCTACTAGCTTATAGAAGGGAGAAAGGAAGAGTAGGGGAGAAGGGAGTGGTATGACTTGCTTTGGCTGTATGTTCGTGGAGATACGCACTGCTTACTAGCACAAACAAAGGTGGCTCCATAGGACCCTGCAAGGGAAAGGAGCCACCATAAAACAGGATATCAGGAAAATAGCTGATTGTACAGGAAAATAAAACTTAAACATCAAGGAGCAGCATCCATTGTAAGTGATGTCATCAGCATTTGAAACAGCCTAAAAACATTTTATGGGTTATTCACAAAAGGGTGAAGAGTTTGGAGAAGGCAGGAGAAGTGAAAAATCTAGGACAACATAGATGAACTGGAAAGTGAGTTGAATTGGAGAAGTTTTCCCAATCAGCTATTTTGTCCTAGATTGTTCACTTCTCCAAACTCTTCACCCTTTTGTGAATAGCCCTGTTAGACTTTAAAATCATTTAAAGAGCAGACACCATAAAGTGCCTGGTATAACCTTTGTCGGCCAGAAAACTGGCCTCTGTGTATCTCTGATTTAGTGTCAACAGCATGTTAAGTTCTGGCCTAAGCCCTACCAAGCCACCACTACCCAGTCTAATAATTTATTAGTAACCTGTCTGGCAGAAATATAGGAGATGTCATTGCTAACTTGATTTAAAGGAGAACTATGAGGTGAGTGAATTACGCTTATTCCCAGAGAGTCAATGTGTGACAATGAAACTGTCACTCGTTGAGTCTATTGATCAGGAAGTGAGCACACACATTCCGTCGCTCGCTCACTTCCCGATCATCTCCCTGCAGAGAGTGGAGACTGTCAGTCACCGCTCCCCGCAGGGATCCCCTTCTCCGATCCTTTGGCGCTGAGTGGAGGAACGGACGGTGAACGGGGCGGGCACGGCTGGATAATCAGAGCCCGCTGTCACTCACGCAGCTAGGTGGATCTTGACAGAATTGTCGGGATCCATCCTGGCTGCGGCGCTCTCAGTATATAGCGGGCAATAGGTAGGAATTTAAAACAAATTGGGTTTGTTTTTACATTTATTTTACTTACCTTTTGTTTTTTTAATTTTTGTTGGTACTTAACTTCATTGCTATTACATACAAGCACATTGGAGGTGACAGGTTCTGTCTTTTGACCCCTAATGTCACCTTTGCACTTCACTGGAGATAATCAATTACAGATCATGCTTGATCAGCTCTGAAAGCAGAAGTGACAAAATAAGCGTAGTTTCTGGATTCACTCCATAGAAGGGGGATCAGCCAACAGATTTTCGCTGGTCTCCTTCTCCTCTAGCAGCTCACAAACCACGCCGGACCTAGGCTCGCAGTAGGGACAGCAAAACTCGGGATACATGGCGGGGGCACATTTGAGAGCCCATAAAATGATTGAGCAGCTGTAAAAGCTGACAGTGTAAACATGAGGCTTGCAGACTTTTATTTAAATATATGCCACAATAGCCACAGTTGGTATAAATCTACTCTGTGTGCATCAAATACCTTCACAAAACCAGATATTACCTTGACAAGATGGTAACATCATCAAAGTGCTGCACATAGCCTGTGCAGAGTTGTGGGAGGGACCCAGCAGGCTCAACCTCCTACAAGCTGCCTGCAGAAAACTAGAAGAGGGGGCGGAGACAAGGCCAGTCACCTTGTACAAGGTGACAGAGCAGCAGTGACTGGTCTACATTACAGGAAACCCTTGCACAAAGGCAAAGTGCAGAAATGATTTCATATTGGATTACTGCACAGATCTGGTAGAAATACACAAAGCACTCCCAAGATTTAAGTGAGACTACACATGTCTCTTGTATGTGGACGATATTTGTTTGGTCTGGATTTTTGCCTTTAATGTTTAAAATAACCGACAGTTTCACTGTAAGACAATATTTGATTTTGGATAAGTGTACAAAAGTATTGTTTCTGGTACTCTTTGAAAATCTTTTTCACTCTACTTACCGAAAGTTAAATTTATTACTGCTGCTGTCTGCTATTCCTGCTCCCCATGTGGTGTCTAGGAGGTGCCACTTCTTGTTTAGATACACCGCGTTCCAAGCATGATTCGTCTCTTCAGAAAATGTCTGACCCAAAATGTAACAGAAGCCCTTTGAGTAGCCACCAATTTTTACACACTGTATTCCTGCAAGCCTGAAAATGGATGAGATTAAAGTGTCACTATCAGTAGTAACATTAGAAGTCTGCTGGAAAAATCCACACATGCCACGCTGTTCAGCAACAGAATAATCAAAAAGACCTAAACCGTACTTAGATATGAGGGGTACAATCTGGGTAAATGATGTCATAGGGCAAACCAAAGGAAACATCCGTCCCCCAGTCATCATTGACACAATCTGTACATTGTAACACTTCCGAACAGCAGAGCAACTCCTCTTTATTACAGGAACCTGAGCTGGTATATATACAGTATCTATATATCTATATAGATATATACACATATATATATCTACATAGATATAGATATATATATATGCCTGGTGTCAGTATTTACATCACTATGTCATGTCTGACCGTGGTTGATAAATGAAGAAGATGGAGCCGACCTATTGGTGGTCTTCCATTGGCAGTGGAACAACTGTGATGTATATAAGAGGGGATAAAAAAGAGCTATGCACATTTATAAAGCACAGCAATGTTCTTTGCAAATGTGCATTGTGGTTTGTTGGATTTGGTAGTCCAAAGCCAGCAGAGTGCAATAAAAGTGAATGCTATTTGCTCAAAGAAAAAGAAAGCCGGCTGCAGAGCCCAGGCCATTCAATGATGGAGCTCTATCTGCTGTGTGTATTAGAGAGAAGTCAATGGGCATTGCTGATTCCATACTACAGTCCACATTTTGTGAATGGGCCATACAATGCGGGCATGGTGTTCCTGGCGTGCTCTATTAGGCCACTCCAGATCATGAATGATGTTGGGAGTTTGATCACAGTTTTCAGGATATGACTCCTCCTCTACTGATGTGCATATCAAGCAACAATTAGGGCCCGTTCACACCCGCCCGTTCAAATGTGTTCGGGCTGTGCTAGCCGTTTTTCCAGTGCAGCCTGAACACAAGACAAGGCAATTTGCCACTGGTGGGCAAAGTTCACAACACAACTTTGTGGTGGTATAAGCTTAAAAAAAGTACGGCATGCAGTAATTTTTTTAAGTGCACCACAGTGAGAGGCAGTACAACCACATCACACCGTGGTGAGCCCATAGAACGTAATGAAATGTCACTTGTGACATTTTAATAAAGCTCTAACAAAACAAATAAAAAGATATTGTGTAATGTGGCTTGATCAAGGGTATCAGCACTGTCTAGGCACACACACAACAGTAGAGCTGCAACAGTTAATCGATTTAGTCGATTAAAATCGACAATTGAAAACGTTGTCAACGTTTTCGATCGTCGATTCGTGGGCTATCGATTGATTAGCCTGTTCGGGGCTCCACACGCTGCCTGAGCCGCACGTCACACACTGCTCCCGCTGCGGCCGCCACACAGGACGTTTAAGCCACGTCCACCGCACAGGATGCATAAGCCACGCCCCCCCCGCACATGCCGCTGAAGCCGCACACGCCGCTGCTCTCCTCCTCGCTGTGAGCTCCCTCACCGCAAGCTGCCTCACTAGCCGCTGGCCCGCCGACAATCGAGGGCCCATGATCTAAAAGTACGGTAAGTCAGAAGTGTAGACTAGAAATGTAATCTGTCCTCTGCACCCCATTCCATCATCCTACCCGTCCTCTCCATCCCTGCACTCCATTCCACCACCATACCCGTCCTCTCCATCCCTGCACTCCATTCCATCATCATAACCATCCTCTGCACCCCATTCCACCATCATACCCGTCCTCTCCATCCCTGCACTCCATTCCACCATCATACCCGTCCTCTCCATCCCTGCACTCCATTCCACCATCATATCCATCCCTGCACTCCGTTCCATCAACATACCAGTCCTTTGCACCCCATTCCACCATCATACCCGTCCTCTCTATTCCTGCATCATACCCGTCCTCTCCAATAACACCAGCTATAGAGGAATACATCAGATCCCAGCAATAATACATTATATACAGCACAATGCAGAATAACGCCAGCTACAGAGGACTACAAATCTCAGCAATAGTACATTATAGTATAAAGTACTATTGCTGGCATTTGTTGTATTCCTCTGAAGCTGCTGGTATTCTGTATTGTGCCTCACCACACTTTTTTTTTATTCCACCGCTCCAAGCTTGCTCCTGTGATGGACTACAATCTCAATAGAAACTAGTAGTCCATCAATGGAGCCATTTTTTTTTTTTTTTTATCGAACTTAATAATCGGCTAACTAATCGATTTTTTAAATAAGCGTTAGCTGCAGATCTACACAACAGTAGCCGTGCTGCATCTTCAGTTCTAATTGGCTTGGCTTCTTCAGTACTAATGAGTGTCAGGTACATAAAATTACACATGTTTACAGGTGCTGTAAAATTGTTGAACTCCCTTCCACAGACAGTGGTATCAGCTGAGAGTATGGAATCATTCAAGACCCGTCTAGATACTTTTCTAAACTAGCGAGATATACAGGGCTACAGGTAATCCTAGTAACTCAAACACACACACACACACACACAACCCAAAGGTTAAACTCGATGGACCTGTATCTTTATTTATCCTTAACTGCTATGTAACTATGTAACATACCCCAGCATATATAGCCACATAGGTAACTCAGTCACCCTAATCCATTCACCATTGAATGTTTTAAGGCAGACATTAATTGTCCAAGAACAGAGTAGACCCCAAAGGGTGGGATTGTGTAACTAAAACAGGGTGGTTCCACAACTTTCATACTTCCTATCCTGTTCTTGAATAATTAACATTTGCCTTAAAGGAGAACTATCGGGTTAAGGCTTTTCCCCATAGTTCTCCTTAGGGTAATGGGAGGACACAAACTAGCATCCTCCCGTCACCCTTGGCTCAGTATACCGCGAGCTGCTGCTCGCGGTATACTGAGACGCCACAGCTGAAGCGGATCCCGACAATTGTGCCGACTATCTAGAGGCAGAGCCAGCTGTACCCGCCCCCTCCCCGTCCGTTCTGCCTGTCAGCACTGGCGGATCGGAGCAGGGAGGGGGGAATCCAGCCCCTCCCCTGTCACGGCAGAGAGCCGTGACAGGATCGAGAGGTGAGCGAACGCCAGTATGTGTTCGCTCACCTCCCGATCTACTGAGCCGACCTGTGACAGTCTCATTGTCACAGGTCGGCTAGAACTATGAGCTGAGTGAAAAGCACTCACATCATAGTTCTCCTTTAATACATTCAAGGGTGGTTCGATGAGGTGTCTGAGTTACCTGCATGGCTTTAAATGTTGAGGTATGTCACTGACACTCATTAGAACTGGTAAAACTGCTCGGATAAAATGCAAAATGTCTTCAACATTACAGAACAAGTCCAGTTGAATATGACTTACTGCTTATAGTTATATCATGACCTTGAAAACAGGAATCCTTCCCCTTAGACTATAACTTCCACTGTCTACGGTACATTTTGACTTACCTGCACATATTTTCAAACAGCCCTGCATATCCTTCACATGCTCCCTTTCCAGTCTGTAGGATCTGGGAGGGATCACTAGTCCATTTGGACTTGTCTTCCAGACCTTCTAAATCATATTCTAAATGGGATAAAAATAGTTTTGTTAGTCTTCCTCCCAGTCTCTTAAACCACCATAGTTATTCAGTCTCTACAAGGTGAACTAGAAGGATGCATTTGATCATATATCTCCCCAACCACTGGAGTGTCACATGAGCTTATGGGGAGATCTGCACAAACAAGGAAAAGCATGCTATATAAATATTAATAATGATCTCATCACCACACAGGCAAGCTGGATATTGTCAGAGTAATATCGCATTCATTTTGGTTGGCATATTGGATTATGCACTGGCTTTTCTAAATTGTTCTGGGTTCATGGGTTCTTTGCACTCATGTATCTAATTTTACCCACCAGCCATGGCAATAATGATTGGGTATCATCCTCATTGTTGGATTTTTTATGTAATTTGTCAGACAGAAATTATTAGAAGAAATAAACAGTATAAAGATGCCTCAGGGTGGTGGGGACAGAAATTAAAGGAAAACTGTACTAAAGGTTAGACAAATCAACTGTGCCACCAATTGGGAGCCCAGCTACCTACAATTTAAACTCTTGATATCAGAGGCCTCACCCCTTCCTCCAGAACAGCTTGCTTAAAAAAGACCGCACTGTAACAGCAATGAAGGCCCGGCATTACCATGGCTGTTGGAAAACACTTAGGTTGACTGTGGGGTGGGAAATGTTCATCTTATAGTCCATAAAGTGTAACTTTTTTTAATAGGTTTCCAATAACAAAAACAAAAAAAGGTTTAAAAAGGCAACAGCTGTAATATTTCTTTTTACAATAAGGGGCACTGAAAACCTGGCTCCTGGAATTTGTCAAACCTTGTATATTGCTGTAATATGTATTCATAGTTTAAGATTCTGCTACAAACCTCTCCATGGTTCATGGGCTTTTTCTCACCTATGTGGTGACAGACCCACATCCAGATGACCCTGACTTTCTCCAGGTCTGTTCGTGCAAACTTTAGCAGAGATCTCACCAGTTGTTCTACTGTGCTTGGCTTGCCCACCTGAAATCATGGACACAGTATTAAGTGACTAGCGCATTGTGGTACGACATGGCTAAATTTCTGACTGGAACAGTGCATCTTGTGTAACCCGTTACAACTAAAAATAAAGTTTAATGAATCTACTCATGGAAGCTCTTTTCCATCATGTTATTTTTAAGATCCTGAAAATGTAACATAGCCTAAAACAGGGGTATCAAACTTAATTTCATCGTGGGCCGCATCAGTATTATGTTTGCCCTCAAAGGGCCAGTTGTATCTGTAAGACTATATAAATGAATCTACTCTTTCTCATATTAAATAATTGCCCCTGCATTTAATTGTTACCGATTTAAGTAATAATTTAATAACTAGCTTTGAAAGTAGAAGTCTAGGAAAGATCATGACAATTAGTGTAATAGTGCAGACTGGCTGTGCAGGTTCTATCATGGGCTGTGCGGACTCTCAGCTGGACTATGCAGGGTCTATGGTGGGCTGTGCGGACTCTCGGGTGGCTGTGCAGGTTCTATCATGGGCTGTGCGGACTCTCAGCTGGACTATGCAGGGTCTATGGTGGGCTGTGCGGACTCTCGGGTGGCTGTGCAGGTTCTATCATGGGCTGTGCGGACTCTCAGCTGGACTATGCAGGGTCTATGGTGGGCTGTGCGGACTCTCGGGTGGCTGTGCAGGTTCTATCATGGGCTGTGCGGACTCTCAGCTGGACTATGCAGGGTCTATGGTGGGCTGTGCGGACTCTCAGGTGGCTGTGCAGGTTCTATAGTGGGCTGTGCGGGCTCCCAGATGGATGAGCAGGTTATATGGTGGGCTGTGTGGGCTCTCAGATGGATGAGCAGGTTCTATGGTGGGCTGTGCGGACTTTCAGGTGGCTGTGCAGGTTCTATCATGGGCTGTGCGGACTTTCAGGTGGCTGTGCAGGTTCTATCATGGGCTGTGCGGACTTTCAGGTGGCTGTGCAGGTTCTATAGTGGGCTGTGCGGGCTCTCAGATGGATGAGCAGGTTCTATGGTGGCCTGTGCGGGCTCTCAGGTGGCTGTGCAGGTTCCATGGTGGGCTGTGTGGACTCTCAGGTGGCTGTGCGGGGTCTGTGCTAGGCTGTGCTGAGTCTTAGGAGGGCTATGCGATCTCAGCAGGGGTCCCGATGAGCTTATGCAATGTCACAACATTTTTTTCCGTCCAGAGTTGCATTCATTTTTCACCAAGATCTTGTAGTGATGATGGGAGAGTCGGACCACTGCATAAATTGTGGTGGTGGATTGGGTGATGGTGGTACACGCTAACGGGGGGAATCATCTCACCCCCCAACTCTAGTCGGCGTCCCACCCAACTCATTGACTTCACTGGTTGCCAGGAGCTCGGCAGGACACCGGCCAGAGCGTCCCAGTTTGCTGAGAGCTGGGTGGGGAGATGTGTATGGCCCTCACACATCTCCCCATCCGGCTTTTAGCAACCTGGGACGCTCTGGTGAAAAAGGGGGAGCAGGCACTCTGCAAACATTGTGCAGCAGAGCTGCCATGCCACTCTGCCTGCCACCCTACCACATGACCCAAAGAGATGCCGCCTGAGGCAACAGCCCAAGGCTGCCTCATTATAGGGACAGCCCTGCTATTGACCATTGTCTCTGGTACAGAAAGCTTTGAACAATGCAACGCTTTAGAATTGTCACTGGAGCAGGAGGTGAGGGGAAATCTTCTAATGTGGACACCTATTTAGTGACACCTCTCTAAGAGGGGGGTTCCCCTTGCTTTAGCGAGAAACTTCCTGCTATGTCTCTGGGATAGGAATTGAAGGTAAACCTCCTAAACAAAACGTAGAAAGCAAAAAAAAACCTGCAAGGGGTCTAATTCATTCCCTACCCTGTCCGAACTAAAACAAGAGCTTTACATGCTCTTTTTTTTACCCTTTATTGGCTAACTTTAAGCCTAAGTTTACTTTTCAAATCATATTTTTAATTGAAATCCCCCACCCCCATCCCGTCCCCCCACTTACAAATCACAGGATTCGTCTCCCTGTAGGCTGAGGTTGGTTTTTGAAAATGGCAATGCTGTACGTGGCTCCACCCACACAGCCATGTCATCGACAAGTCCTATCAGCCATCATGGCAGAAGGACTTCTAGTTCTCAACGGAATACAAGTGCAGTGACGTCACTGCACTTGTAGTCCATTGATTTTTCCTTCCATCCCTGTTACTGAATGTCTGTATCTCAGTATGGTAAATAAAAGTAATTCACCGGCACACACTGGAAGGGTTTTTAAAGTATTGATATGTTTATTCAATACCCAATGTCACATACTGGCATACGGTGCTAGGATTTGGACTTTGTTGTATCTCAGTATGGACAGGAATGATAGGAAGAGTTTGCAGGGGGCAGAACATGGCACCTGCAATCCACTGATCGCGGTTACAATGCTTTACTTGCTCCTATACATATTTATCTTTTATTTATACATTTTTTAAGGTAGAATTTACTTTTATGTTATTACAGGTGGAAGCTTATGGAATGCCCACCAGATTCTAAAATACCTGGTAAAACAAGGTAACATGAATGATAAAAGGACAGCTGTATATTGGAACATATGTTAGATTGTATTACACCCCTCTCTACATGTTCTGTAGTAAGTGCTTTTTATTGTATATATGTCATTTTACATCTGCATCAATAAAAAATTGCTTTATATGTCAAATTGTAATTGCACCCTTAAAGTCCCATTTACCTTTTTATGTTTTGGGTATTATATTAACAAACGTTCAGTTTCACTTACCTGCACAGCATAAGCATCTAGCTTTTCAAGGTTCTTCAAGTTGACAGGCATAGATTTGAGGCTGGATTTATCCCAGGGATAAGCTAATAAAGTATTAAACACATACATGGATACAGATTAGTGAGAGCATGAATATAAAGTGATGTGCTATTTCATACTTAATTAAAACATATTGAGTTCCCCTATGGAGCTGTAGGTGTAAGAGGGGGCCATGACGCCTGCAGTCCAGACCCAAACTTTAGTTAAGTATAGGAGTTTGAGACGGGATGGGAATGGTCAGTTGGTGGAGTAGGAGGGGGGGGGGGGAAGGGGGGGGGAGTG